ATATCCCCCCTTATGTATTATACATGGAGATCATATCCCCCCCGTATGTATTATACATGGTGATCATATCCCCCCTTATGTATTATACATGGTGATCATATCCCCCCTTATGTATTATACATGGAGATCATATCCCCCCTTATGTATTATACATGGAGATCATATCCCCCCTTATGTATTATACATGGAGATCATATCCCCCCTTATGTATTATACATGGAGATCATATCCCCCTTATGTATTATACATGGTGATCATATCCCCCCCCTTATGTATTATACATGGAGATCATATCCCCCTTATGTATTATACATGGAGATCATATCCCCCTTATGTATTATACATGGTGATCATATCCCCCCCCTTATGTATTATACATGGAGATCATATCCCCCTTATGTATTATACATGGAGATCATATCCCCCTTATGTATTATACATGGTGATCATATCCCCCCTTATGTATTACATGGAGATCATATCCCCCCTTATGTATTATACATGGAGATCATATCCCCCCCGTATGTATTATACATGGAGATCATATCCCCCTTATGTATTATACATGGAGATCATATCCCCCCTTATGTATTATACATGGAGATCATATCCCCCCTTATGTATTATACATGGAGATCATATCCCCCCTTATGTATTATACATGGAGATCATATCCCCCCTTATGTATTATACATGGAGATCATATCCCCCCTTATGTATTATACATGGAGATCATATCCCCCCTTATGTATTATACATGGTGATCATATCACCCCTTATGTATTATACATGGTGATCATATCCCCCCCTTATGTTTTATACATGGAGATCATATCCCCCCTTATGTATTATACATGGAGATCATACCCCCCTTATATATTATACATGGAGATCATATCCCCCCTTATGTATTATACATGGAGATCATATCCCCCTTATGTATTATACATGGAGATCATATCCCCCCTTATGTATTATACATGGAGATCATATCCCCCCTTAATCTCCTCTTCTCAAGAGGAGCTCCTCCATGCCTCTTATCAGTTTGGTTGCCCTTCTCTGTACTTTCTCCAGTTCCCCAATGTTCTTTTTGTGAATTGGTGCCCAAAACTGAACTGCATATTCCTGATGAGGTGTTACTAATGATTTGTACCGGGGGAAATGATATCTCTCTCTGGAGTCTATACCTCTTTTAATACAAGAGAGGATTTTGCTCGCTTTAGAACCTGCAGCTTGGCATTGCTGCCATTATTAAGCTTGTGATCTACTTTTTTTTTTATATTATGTGCCTACCCTATCACAATGGGGCACTATTCCTCCCAATATCACCAATGATGGGGCACTATTCCTCCCAATATCACCAATGATGGGGCACTATTCCTCCCAATAACACCAATGATGGGGCACTATTCCTCCCAATGGCAATAATGATGGGGCACTGACACCAATGCAGGGGCACAATTACTCTCACTGAAACAAACAATGGGGCATGTTTTTTTCCCACTCACTTTGGGAACTTTTGTACTCCCAATAGCCACAGTTGAGCCCTCCTAAAGCCTAAAGGGTAGTAAACAGGCCCTTTGTTTAGAAAGTTTGGAGACCACTGATCTATATTTTGTGTGTGACTGCATTATATGCTTTGTAATGACCAAAGGAATTTGGATGGAACTTGGACTTCCCTTGGGGATATTTTAACACTGGAGTCCCCAAGAATGTAAGAATCTGTCAATGATGAATAAATAATTTAAATATTGGCTTTGGAAGCTGTCAACAGTGACCTGTGTGCTCTGATCCATGCCATTCTACCATGTAGCATGCATTACATTCCTAGTTGGGAATGCATGATCTGTACCAGGCCCCCATAACTGTTTTACACTATTAAAATATATGTTATGGTCATTTATGCTCGTAAAAGGGTGAACTTGCATAAATACAATGTACAGAGCTGTGCTACAGCAGTGAGAGGAGAACTTCCCATCCATTTCCCATAACAAAATACAGTGGGGCTGAGCACTACTCGGCCATTCACAGGAGGCTTCATATTCTATCAATGAATAGAAAGCTTCCTCTGATTGGCTGCTACAGAGTTTGTGAGATCATTAGCCCACTTTGCTGCCTCAGCCAATCAGACGAAGCTTTGTATTCATTCATTGAATAAAACGCTTCCCGTGAAAGGCTGAGAAGCACTGACCTATATTTTGAGCCGGGAGTGGGATGTGAAGTCCCCGTACCGCCGCCGGAACACAGCACTGTATACTGTATGCAGATGAGGTTACAAATCATTAATACAGCGCACCCAGAAAGGGTATCTATTAGTGCAGTAAATAGTTTGTTTGGGTCAGCTATGGCCCAAACAAACTAGTTACATAGCTAGTCTGGTGGTTGAAAAAAGTTCATATAGTTCAACCAATAAGAAGGAAAAGAAAATGTACACAATCCTATATAGACAATCCTACACCCACAGTTGATCCAGAGGAAGGCAAAAAAAAAAACACCCAGCAAAGCATGATCCAATTTGCTCCTGCAGGGGGAAAAAGTTCCTTCCTGATCCCCCGAGAGGCAATCGGATATTCCCTGGATCAACTTTATTTATTAAAGGAACTTTTAAAGGTGGAGTTATGCTTTATATTACTAAGTATATTTTTAAATGCAACACATGTAGGTAACTGAATCTGTCTTTATATTAACGTCCTGCAATCCCCTGTATAGTAGCACTCAGACTGGGAAAGGGACAGCCATCACTCACTGTCAGTCTGTCAGATGTGCTGCAGGGAGCGTGCTGATTGAAGTAGAGAGCAAGCTGAGCTTTGCAATGGCACCTTCATTCTGCCTCTGCTCCTTTACTGCCTAATCAGCAGGCTTGTTGGTGTTCAAGCTGTGTTGCCACTGCAGTGGTGTTGGGGGGGTGTTGGGGTCACATTTAATGCAAATGAATTATTTTTTGTTTGCTTTTTTTTATTTTACAGTACACTTTAAGGGTATCATATGAAGGTGGATACATTTTTGCATTTATTTTATTGCTTTATTTTATATTGACAGTTATTTTATATATATTTATTTTATTTATTTATTTCAGGTACTTACAGGTGAAACTCGAAAAATTAGAATATCGTGCAAAAGTTCATTTATTTCAGTAATGCAACTTAAAAGGTGAAACTAATATATGAGATAGACTCATTACATGCAAAGCAAGATAGTTCAAGCCGTGATTTGTCATCATTGTGATGATTATGGCTTACAGCTCATGAAAACTCCAAATCCACAATCTCAGAAAATGAGAATATTCCATGCAATCAATAAAACAAGGATTGTACATAGAACAATATCGGACCTCTGAAAAGTAGAAGCATGCATATGTACTCAGTACTTGGTTTGGGCTCCTTTTGCAGCAATTACTGCCTCAATGCGGCGTGGCATGGAAGCTATCAGCCTGTGGCACTGCTGAGGTGTTATGGAAGACCAGGATGCTTCAATAGCGGCCTTCAGCATTGTTCGGTCTCATGTCTCTCATCTTTTCTCTTGGCAATGCCCCATAGATTCTCTGTGGGGTTCAGGTCATGCGAGTTTGCTGGCCAATCAAGCACAGTAATCCCACGGTCATTGAACCAGGTTTTGGTGCTTTTGGCACTGTGGGCAGGTGCCAAGTCCTGCTGGAAAATGAAGTCAGCATCCCCATAAAGCTCGTCTGTGGAAGGAAGCATGAAGTGCTCCAAAATCTCCTGGTAGACGGCTGCGTTGACCCTGGACTTAATGAAGCACAGTGGACCAACACCAGCAGATGACATGGCTCCCCAAATCAACACAGACTGTGGAAACTTCACACAGGACTTCAAGCATCTTGCAGTGTGTGTGCCTCTCCATTCTTCCTCCATACTCTGGGTCCTTAGTTTCCAAATGCGATGCAAAAGTTTCTCTCATCAGAAAAGAGAACTTTGGACCACTGAGCAACAGACCAGATGTGTTTTTCTTTAGCCCAGGTAAGACGCTTCTGACATTTGTTTGTTCAGGAGCGGCTTGACAAGAGGAATACGACATTTGAAGCCCATGTGTCCATCTGTGTGTGGTGGCTCTTGATGCACTGACTCCAGCCTCAGTCCACTCCTTGTGAAAGTCCCCAACACTTTTGAATGGCCTTTTCCTGACAATCCTCTCCAGGCTGCGGTCATCCCTGCTGCTTGTGCACCTTTTTCTTCCACACTTTTCCCTTCCACATAACTTTCTATTAATGTGCTCTTTGATACAGCACTTTGGGAACATCCAACTTCTTTTGCAATTCCTTTTTGAGGCTTTCCCTCCTTATGGAGGGTGTGTAATGATGGTTTTCTGCACAACTGTCAGGTCAGCAGTCTTTCCCATGATTGTGATTCCTACTGAACCAGACTGAGAGACCATTTAAAGGCTCAGGAACCCTTTGCAAGTGTTATGGCTTAATTATCTGATTCGAGTGGGACACTTTGAGCCGAGAATATTGCACCTTTTCACAATATTCTCATTTTCTGAGATTGTGGATTTGGGGTTTTCATGAGCTGTAAGCCATAATCATCACAATGATGACAAATCGCGGCTTGAACTATCTTGCTTTGCATGTAATGAGTCTATCTCATATATTAGTTTCACCTTTTAAGTTGCTGCACTGAAATAAATGAACTTTTGCACGATATTCTAATTTTTCGAGTTTCACCTGTATATAGCTGCAGTTAGAGTTTTTGTTGTTTTTTTTTTTTTTTTAATCTCACTGAACATATAAATAAACCGGGTTCATTTCTGTCCATGTGCGTAGTCTGATATTCACTTTGTCTATAGGATGGACAGCAATAAAGGAGTCTGTCCTATTCCCATTTTACCTATATGAGAAACCTTTGATGGAAACTGTTACTCCTGGGTTTCAGGTAAAACCTGTTCAATATTGCTGTGAGTAAGAAGAATGCCCAAAAACTTGTTAGCTGCAGAGCACACGAGCCTACTTTAAAAATCTGCATATGTATTAAAGTGTTACTAAACCCAGCACCCTGCATTCACTATATCTGGTCTCCCCGGACCCTGCATTCACTATCTGGTCTCCCCGGACCCTGCATTCACTATATCTGGTCTCCCCGGACCCTGCATTCACCCTCCCCGGACCTGCATTCACTATATCTGGTCTCCCTGGACCCTGCATTCACTATACCCTCTCTCCCCGGACCCTGCATTCACTATATCTGGTCTCCCTGGACCCTGCATTCACTATATCTGGTCTCCCGGACCCTGCATTCACTATATCTGGTCTCCCCGGACCCTGCATTCACTATATCTGGGACCCTGCATTCACTATATCTGGTCTCCCTGGACCCTGCATCACTATATCTGGTCTCCCCGGACCCTGCATTCACTATATCTGGTCTCCCCGGACCCTGCATCACTTTATCTGGTCTCCCCGGACCCTGCATTCACTATATCTGGTCTCCCCGGACCCTGCATTCACTTTATCTGGTCTCCCCGGACCCTGCATTCACTATATTCGCTCTCCCACAGTACACAGAACATGGAAATGCAATTATTTTAGTTGTTATAAACTGCTAAATACCTTTTCTCATCAGCTGTTCAAGTCTTGGGACTTCCATCAGTATCCAGCCGAGTTAATCTTGTAGGAGGGGTTTTAATTTTCCTAGGAGACTGAATATCCCCTGACCCTCTGTCTGAACAGGGCTCTTTGGACCTGGGACAATTACATACACCCTCCTAAAAAGAAAAGAAAAAACTCTCTAACAATACACACCAAACAGAGCATGTGCAGACTTGCAACTGCTGCTCTACTATGACAGATGAATTGGGGACAGTAGAAGAAGGGGAGGATCAGGGAATACAGGATCAAACGGCTCTTTTACACTATCCAGATGATTAACCCCTTAGGTTCCACAGTGAGTATAACAAGCATGCTTCACTGCATATACAGTCTTATTGTACTGTTGTGGGTTTAGTAACACTTTTTAAGCTTTGATGGCAGGTCCCCTTGCATTAATTCCAATGTTTCTTATATTACATACCATTGGAGTAATTGGTAATTTATGCTTTTTTTGGTTCCTTACAGCCTGGACTACCGCAGCAGAACTTCTCAATGTCTGTGACTGTCCCAGTGTCCAACCCTTTGCCATACAGTTCACCAGGGAACACCCTTGTCACCCCTTCACTGGCTGCCAGCACCTCATTAACAGACACAGGGATGCTTTCCCCTCCGCAGACATCGCTACACCGAAATGTGGTGTCTCCTGGGTTGTCACAGAGACCCTCAAGCACTGGAAATGCAGGTAAAAAGCCACCACTCCTTTTTTTTTTTTTTTTTTTTTTTTTTTTTTGGGGTTTGTTTGTTTTAAATGTAATATGCTATCCTCAATGGGGGTAACATGTCCTATGATATAGAGCAGGCATGAGCTCCAGTCATGTTTAGGCAGACCGCTACTCTAAACAAAGCAGTCTATAGGAATGTACCTTCACTGTGTCTTTCTAATGGGAAAATGAAATTATTTGATGTATTAAGCAAAATATAATTATGATGTTGGTGTATAAAATGTGACTTCCCATTGCTATCTCTGGGCTGTTTAAAACCTGCAAAGTTGGATCTGCAACTACTGAACCACTGTGTTGCCTACCAGGTAATGTTGTCTTTCCTGAACATTTTACCTTCCACCACAGTAAAACTCCTATGCTAAAGCAAATTTTTTTTAACCACCTCCCGTCCGACCGTTGTATATAAACGGCCGGACGGTGGCACTGCAGGGTCGGGTGGCCGTTTATAAACGGCTTCCCCGCACCCTGCTTGTGTGTGCTCCCTGGGAGCACGCAGCACCGCAATCCGGTGCCCGCTGTGTCCTCCGGACACAGTGAAACACCGATCGTCGGACAGGACCTCTGTACGAGGTCCCGATCATGTGATCACTGATTGGCCAATCAGTGATCACATGCAAAGTAGTAAGCAAGATGTCACTTGTGACATCATTGCTTACTACGTGTGAAATCTGTGAATGATCACTGAGGTCACATGGTACAAGGCTATTCACAACAGCCTTGTACCATGTGACAAGCTGTGACCAATCACAGCTCACTCAGTAGTTCTCAATGACTGCAAGAATGCAGACAAAGAGAAAGGATTGCTTTTACATCCTATATGGGTGTAAAAGCAATCAGTGTAAAAAAAAAAAATCTTCATCACCCCCCACAAGTAGTACAGTGTCACCATGGTGACACTGTACTGCTAGGGCAGTGGTCGGCAAGCCGCGGCTCGCGAGCCACATGCGGCTCTTTACAAGCTTAAATGCGGCTCTTCTGTGTGCCGGGCGCCCACTCCCCTCCCTCCTCTCCCTCCTCTCGGACGGGCGTGTGCAGGGCGGCCGCCCCCTCACCTCCCCTCCCCTCCCTCCTCTCGGACGGCCGCCCGCTCCCCTCCCTCCTCTCGGGCGGCCGCCCCAAAAGTCAGGACTCTGCAGCTGTCAGGATGTAGGCGGGGCAGCCAGGATGTAGGCGGGGCAGCGTGACGAACTCCTCTCCTCTCACAGTCCGCCCTGAAGACCAGAACGGCGCAGGAAGCACGGCTAGAGGAACGCGCGGAGCAAAGGTAAGTGAATTGACACAGGGGGGACTTACTATATGGGGGATGAATTACTATATGGGGGGACTTACTATATGGGGGGGGACTTACTATATGGGGGATGAATTACTATATGGGGGGGGACTTACTATATGGGGGGGGGGACTTACTATATGGGGGGGGACTTACTATATGGGGGACTTACTATATGGGGGATGAATTACTATATGGGGGATGAATTACTATATGGGAGATGAATTACTATAGGGGGGATGAATTACTATGGGGGATGAATTACTATGGGGGATGAATTACTATGGGGGATGAATTACTATATGGGGGATGAATTACTATGGGGGATGAATTAATATGGGGGATGAATTACTATATGGGGGATGAATTACTATGGGGGATGAATTACTATATGGGGGATGAATTACTATATGGGGGATGAATTACTATGGGGGATGAATTAATATGGGGGATGAATTAATATGGGGGATGAATTGCTATGGGGGATGAATTGCTATATGGGGGATGAATTACTATGGGGGATGAATTACTATATGGGGGATGAATTACTCTATGGGGGATGAATTACTATGGGGGATGAATTACTATATGGGAGATGTATTTTCAGTTTTAAAAATGTGGCTCTCAAAATAAATTTCAATCGTGGTTTTGGCGAGATTTGGCTCAGTTGAAAAAAAAGGTTGCCCACCACTGTGCTAGGGTGACCGTATGTACAAAAAAAAAAAAATGTTTAAAAATTATTTTTGGTTATAAACTAATTTGGCTTATTTTTTTTTTTTTTTTACTAAAAAGATAACGGAATACATTTTGGCCAAGATTTATGATGAAATATTTATTTGCAAAATTTTATAAGAAAAACATTTTTTTTCAAAATTTTTTGACTTTCATTTGCATAGCAAAAAAAATAAAAATCCCAGCAGTGAATAAATACCACCAAAATAAAGTTTTATCTGTCTCAAAAAAAGGTAAAAAATTCATATGGGTAAAGTGTTGCATGACCGCGCAATTGTCATTCAAAGTATGATAGCGCTGAAAGCTGGAAATTGCCCTGGACAGGAAGGGGGTAAAAGTGTCCGGACAGGAAGTGGTTAAATCTTACATTTTATTTTATTTATTTATTTATATATATATATATATATATATATATATATATATAATAATTTTGTTTATATATAAAATCTGTATTAGGTTCTGAGCAACGGTTTAGCCGTCTGCATATGGATTACAGAGAGTATAAAAATCTGTGACTTGCATCTTAAACTGCCAGAATGTTATCTGGTTTGTTAAAGCGTCAATAAACTATATTAATATAGATTGCTCGGTGTAGTTTTTTGCCCTTTAAACCCCTAGATTTGTGAGCAGGCCGGTATCCACCCATCCAGGACTACAAGAGGCATCTCTCTCTGGCCTTCTCTATATGTAGCCCTTGGCCTGCAGGAGTAGCAATCAGCTTGCGAATTGTTATTACTCTAACCAGGGGCAGACTGACAACTCATGGGGCCCCCCGGCAATAGAGGATCATGAGGCCCCTGTGTCCTCGCCAAACTCAAAAAAGCCTATGAAAAAGGTACCAGGGGCATCTCATAGGGCCCCCTACTGACCCTGGGCCTTCGGGCATTGCCCGAGTTTCCAAATGGTCAGTCCGCCCCTGACTCTAACATGGATGCACAACCTCTGGCCCTCCAGCTGTTGCAAAGATGTGAGGCATTGCAAGGCTGAGACTTACAAGCATGACTCCCAAAGTCAGAGGCATGATGAGACTTGTAGTTCTGCAACAGCTGGAGGGACACAGGTTGAGCAGCCATGCTTAAGAACTGGCTGACTCTGGGAACTAGGGTCTATAAAAGTGTAAGGAGCAGGATTTTCAGAGACTACAGACATCCTTCAGAAAACTGTGAATGCTAATGGAGTTGCTGGAAACTGGGGACATGTTACATGAGGCTGCTAGAAATCACTGCTATAATAGGTCAATTGGAAAAGAGATCTGCAGTAGCCGAGGGCCACAAAAGGTATCAAAGGGCCACAAGGTAGTTCAAAGTCCTACAGAATCCGTCTGTATAGGACACCACAAAAGAAGTGTGTGTTTTGTGCTTGCCTGTCCTTGGCCTGATGTCAGCCATATGGTCTATAAGGCTCTGTTCACACTGCCACGACTTGGGATCTGGACATGTGAAATCCCATATTAGTCAATGAGAGCCATCTTACTTAGCACTACTGAAGTCACTCCGACTGTAGAAAAGGTTCCTGTACTACTACAATGCGACTTCTATCCGACTTGTGCCCATAGACTTTTAGAGCACCAGTTCCATCCCCGTTCTTGGTGCTTGGTGATGGAACTTGGCTATCCAGTTTTAAAGTAATTTACTCATTTATTTTCCATGATTGCTTTTGTGACTTTGATTGTAAACTCATCCAAGCTAGACATATATAAATGTATACGCTTACTCCTTACAGCAGGTTTCTCCAAACTTTCTAAGCCAAAGGCAAATTTACTGTCCTACAGACTTTAGGAGGGCTGGATTGTGACCAATGGGAGCAGAAAATGCCCCAGCATCAGTGGCCATAAACCATGCCCCATCATTGGTTTGAATGGAAGGAATAGTGCCCCATTGTTGGTATCAATGGAAAGAATAGTGCCCCATCGATGCTGTCAGTGGGAGGAATAGTGCCCCATCGATGCTGTCAGTGGGAGGAATAGTGCCCCATCATTGGTATCAGTGGGAGGAATAGTGCCCCCCATCATTGATATCAGTGGGAGGGATAGTGCCCCATCAATGCTGTCAGTGGGAGGAATAGTGCCCCATCATTGGTATCAGTGGGAGGAATAGTGCCCCATCAATGCTGTCAGTGGGAGGGATAGTGCCCCATCAATGCTGTCAGTGGTAGGAATAGTGCCCCATCGAAGTGGTCAGTGGGAGGAATAGTGCCCCATCGAAGCTGTCAGTGGGAGGAATAGTGCCCCATCAATGCTGTCAGTGGGAGGATTACTGCCCCATTGATGCTGTCAGTGGGAGGAATAGTGCCCCATCGAAGTAGTCAGTGGGAGGAATAGTGCCCCATCAATGCTGTCCGTGGGAGGAATAGTGCCCCATCGATGCTGTCAGTGGGAGGAATAGTGCCCCATCGAAGCTGTCAGTGGGAGGAATAGTGCCCCATCGAAGCTGTCAGTGGGAGGAAATAGTGCCTCATCGAAGCTGTCAGTGGGAGGAATAGTGCCCCATCAATGCTGTCAGTGGGAGGAATAGTGCCCCATCGAAGTGGTCAGTGGGAGCAATAGTGCCCCATCGAAGCTGTCAGTGTGAGGAATAGTGCCCCATCGAAGCTGCTGTCAGTGTGAGGAATAGTGCCCCATCATTGGTGTCAGTGGGAGGGGAGGTCAGTGGGAGGAATAGTGCCCCATCATTGGTGTCAGTGGGAGGAATAGTGCCCCATCGAAGTGGTCTGTGGGAGGAATAGTGCCCCATCGAAGTGGTCTGTGGGAGGAATAGTGCCCCATCGAAGTGGTCTGTGGGAGGAATAGTGCCCCATCGAAGCTGTGTCAGTGCCCCATCAAAGGAGGAATAGTGCCCCATCAATGCTGTCAGTGGGAGGAATAGTGCCCCATCAATGCTGTCAGTGGGAGGAATAGTGCCCCATCAATGCTGTCAGTGGGAGGAATAGTGCCCCATTGTTTGTATCAGTGGGAGGAATAGTGCCCCATTGTTGGTATCAGTGGGAGGAATAGTGTCCCATCGATGCTGTCAGTGGGCGGAATAGTGCCCCATTGTTGGTATCAGTGGGAGGAATAGTGTCCCATGGATGCGGTCAGTGGGAGGAATCGTGTCCCATTGTTGGTATCAGTGGGAGGAATAGTGTCCCATGGATGCGGTCAGTGGGAGGAATAGTGCACCAATGGCCAGATAAAAGCAAGTCAAGGACCACAGTTTGAAGACCGGTGCCTTACAGTATTGCATAGCTTTGCTTAGGCTGTGTCCTTCTGTGGTCTTTAATGACACAGCGGGGGGGGGGGGGGGGGGGGGGGGGGGGGTAGGTAGTAAGGTCATTGAATTCTCTGTCACAAATCTTGTTCAATAACCAATGTTTCTAATCTCTTGACAGGTGTAATGTTATGTGCATCAGACATCTCTGTGCCAAATGGAGCTGGTGCCAGTCCAGTAGGTGAGTGGGATGACCGGTTCTGTTTTCTACATATGGAGAATATGATTTAAATGCCCATTCCTGCCAGTGGTTTACAGGAAGACCCTACCAAAATTTAAAGCAGTAATAAAAATATTAAAAAACATTGGTTATTGCAAACTTTGTGCAGAATACAAATTTTGTTGGGATTTAAAAATGGACTATTTGCTTTGGGTGCCTACCTAGTTACATCAGGGGACTGTCACCTCACACAGCTCTTTTGTAGGAAGCAGTAGGACTTCCTTCCCACTACCTTTTGCAGCGCTTGACAAACTGAAATATAACTGTGAAAATACATAATCATAATTTATGGATACAGGTGGTTGGCCTTTCAGGTGAAAAAACATAGAAATTGTGTTTTTTTTTTGTTCAAAGGTTTTTGGATTTCCAAGGTAAAGTGCTAGTACAGCTTTATAAAATGTATAAAGGTTAACTCCATTTTCATGGGGAAAAATGGCAAATAAAAATATATAGCGTATACAGTTGCTTCACAAGCCATATTGTAATTGAATGTTCTTAAAAATAGCTTTTTCAATCTGCAGCTCTGTAATTTTCTATAAAAATGAATCACAATATGGCTACCTGGAGGAGTTCTGTACGCAGATGAGCACATCACGTCATATGATGTCCACCCAGAATGAGAGAGCTCTTGCCCAGCCATCATTGTACTATAGGCCGGGCAGGAAGCAGTTGAAGAAGAATTCCAGGTATGGGATTTTTTGCATAGTTACATTGGTACAGCTTGGACCAATGTAACTATGAATATGCTATGCCAATGGGATGCCTCTAGAAGCTGGAAATCGCTGTATAGACACCACTACTCCAGTGATCTCCACTTGCTTCCAGGTCCCATGCTGAACAGCTGCCCAACTGCACTGTGGAAACAGGAGGTTGGCCGCTTGGCACGGGCACCCTTCAGAGAATGCTTTGCATTTTCTTAATGAATGCAAAGTGATCCCTGATTGGATGAGGTGGAGAGACTGATCCATACTCTCCACCTCATCCAATCATAAAATTCATTTTAAAAAATGCTAAGCATTTTCTGAATAACGCCTGTGCTGAGCAGCCGACCTCCACTGTTCACAGTGCAGGATGATAGCCATTCGTCACGGGACCTGGAAGCAAGTGGAGATCACTGGAATTGGTGTTTATACAGTGAATTCCAGCTTCTAGAAGCATCCCACAGGTATGGTATATTCATAGTGCAATTCTAAAAAATGCCATGCCTGGAATGCACTATGTGTTTAACCTCCTGTATAAAACATACTTCTACATAATTCCTCATATGAGCTTTAGCTGTATCAATTTACCTGTGTGGGTGCAATTGCCCTAAACCTTTCCTGATCAATTGTAAGAACCTAGGTGTTTATCTCATGTGCAGTTACACTGGATGTGACATATAGTTATATGATTAGTCTGGCTGAAAAAAGACAAAAGACCATCCAGTTCAACCATAAAGAAAAAAAAAAGTTATAATCGTATACCCACAGTTGATCCAGAGGAAGGCAAAAAAACCCAGCAAAGCATTATCCAATTTGCTCCTGCAGGGGAAAAAATGTCCTTCCTGATCCCCTGAGAGGCAATCGGATATTCCCTGGATCAACTTTACCTATAAATGTTAGTATCCAGTTATATTCTGTGTATCTAGGAAAGAATCCAGGACTTTTTTTAAAGCAATCCACTGAGCTGGCCAGAACCAACTCTTGAGGGAGTCTATTCCACATTGTCACAGCTCTCACTGTGAAGAAACCTTTCCGTGTTTGCAGATTACATTTCTTTTCCTCCAGACGTAAAGAGTGCCCCCTTGTTCTCTGTGATGACCTCAGGGTGAATAACTCTACACCGAGTCCACTATATGAACCACTGATGTATTTATACATGGAGATCATATCCCCCCTTATGTATTATACATGGAGATCATATCCCCCCCTTATGTATTATACATAGAGATCATATCCCCCCTTATGTATTATACATAGAGATCATATCCCCCCTTATGTATTATACATGGAGATCATATCCCCCCTCCCTTATGTATTATACATGGAGATCATATCCCCCCTTATGTATTATACATGGTGATCATATCCCCCCTTATGTATTATACATGGAGATCATATCCCCCCTTATGTATTTATACATGGAGATCATATCCCCCCTTATGTATTATACATGGAGATCATATCCCCCCTTATGTATTATACATGGAGATCATATCCCCCCCCTTATGTATTATACATGGAGATCATATCCCCCCCCTTATGTATTATACATGGAGATCATATCCCCCTTATGTATTATACATGGAGATCATATCCCCCTTATGTATTATACATGGAGATCATATCCCCCTTATGTATTATACATGGAGATCATACCCCCCTTATGTATTATACATGGAGATCATACCCCCCTTATGTATTATACATGGAGATCATATCCCCCTTATGTATTATACATGGAGATCATATCCCCCTTATGTATTATACATGGAGATCATATCCCCCCTTATGTATTATACATGGAGATCATATCCCCCCTTATGTATTATACATGGTGATCATATCCCCCCTTATGTATTATACATGGAGATCATATCCCCCTTATGTATTATACATGGTGATCATATCCCCCTTATGTATTATACATGGAGATCATACCCCCCTTATGTATTATACATGGAGATCATACCCCCCTTATGTATTATACATGGAGATCATACCCCCCTTATGTATTATACATGGAGATCATATCCCCCCTTATATATTATACATGGTGATCATATCCCCCTTTATGTATTATACATGGAGATCATATCCCCCCTTTATGTATTATACATGGAGATCATATCCCCCCTTTATGTATTATACATGGAGATCATATCCCCCCTTTATGTATTATACATGGAGATCATATATCCCCCCTTATGTGTTATACATGGAGATCATATCCCCCCTTATGTATTATACATGGAGATCATATCCCCCCCTTATGTATTATACAGGGAGGTCATATCCCCCCTTATGTATTATACATGGAGGTCATATCCCCCCTTATGTATTATACATGGTGATCATATCCCCCCTTATGTATTATACATGGAGATCATATCCCCCCTTATGTGTTATACATGGAGATCATATCCCCCTTATGTATTATACATGGAGATCATATCCCCCCTTATGTATTATACATGGAGATCATATCCCCCCTTATGTATTATACATGGAGATCATATCCCCCCTTATGTATTATACATGGAGATCATATCCCCCCTTACGTATTATACATGGAGATCATATCCCCCCTTACGTATTATTATACATGGTGATCATATCCCCCTTATGTATTATACATGGAGATCATATCCCCCTTATGTATTATACATGGTGATCATATCCCCCTTATGTATTATACATGGTGATCATATCCCCCTTATGTATTATACATGGTGATCATATCCCCCCCCCCCCTTATGTATTATACATGGTGATCATATCCCCCCCTTATGTATTATACATGGTGATCGTATCCCCCTTATGTATTATAGATGGAGATCGTATCCCCCTTATGTATTATACATGGAGATCGTATACCCCTTATGTATTATATTGATGATGATCATATCCCCCCTTATGTATTATACATGGTGATCATATCCCCCCTTATGTACTATACATGGAGATCATATCCCCCCTTATGTACTATACATGGAGATCATATCCCCCCTTATGTACTATACATGGAGATCATATCCCCCCCCCCCCTTATGTATTATACATGGTGATCATATCCCCCCCCCCCTTATGTATTATACATGGTGATCGTATCCCCCCCTTATGTATTATACATGGAGATCGTATCCCCCTTATGTATTATACATGGAGATCATATCCCCCCTTATGTATTATACATGGAGATCATATCCCCCCCCTTATGTATTATACATGGAGATCATATCCCCCCCTTATGCATTATACATGGTGATCATATCCCCCCTTATGTATTATACATGGTGATCATATCCCCCCCTTATGTATTATACATGGTGATCATATCCCCCCTTATGTATTATACATGGAGATCATATCCCCCCTTATGTATTATACATGGAGATCATATCCCCCCTTATGTATTATACATGGTGATCATATCCCCCCCTTATGTATTATACATGGAGATCATATCCCCCCTTATGTATTATACATGGTGATCATATCCCCCCCTTATGTATTATACATGGTGATCATATCCCCCCCTTATGTATTATACATGGAGATCATATCCCCCCCTTATGTATTATACATGGAGATCATATGCCCCCCCTTATGTATTATACATGGAGATCATATCCCCCCTTATGTATTATACACGGAGATCATATCCCCCCTTATGTATTATACACGGAGATCATATCCCCCCTTATGTATTATACACGGAGATCATATCCCCCCTTATGTATTATACATGGAGATCATATCCCCCTTAATCTCCTCTTCTCAAGAGAGAATACATTCAGTTCCTCTAATCTTTCCTCATAGCTGATGTCCTCCATGCCTCTTATCAGTTTGGTTGCCCTTCTCTGTACTTTCTTCAGTTCCCCAATGTTCTTTTTTGTGAATTGGTGCCCAAAACTGAACTGCATATTCCAGATGAGGTCTTACTAATGATTTGACATCAATGTTACCATTTTGCAGCATGTTCAGTCAATGTCAGAATACTATGGCAGCCTAGGCATTGGTTCTACCAACTGAAGGACATGGTTTAATGGTGGAAAAAAAAAAAATGAACCCAGCAGAAGGGATAAATCTGTTAGCATTCAGGCCGAGGGTGTGGATTTGGTAGGCCACAATTGATGCAAAGCAGAAGTTCTTAATATGGCTTCACAAAATGTTTTTAATCCTCTCGTTGCCTATGGTATTCCTCTACATTGTTTGCATATGTTCGTATGCAGTGTATTAGCCGGGTGCCTGAACTGACAG